AATGTAATTCCCTTCAAATTTCAGTAGTTTTTCATGGAACTCAACAAACTGAAATTCCTAAGGAATTCATTAAAAAGAGCAAAGAGGCAATAGTAACAAGACAATTTTGAAGATGAATACGGTATGATCTGGAAGCTATTAAAATATAGTATAAATTAACTAAGACACTGTGGTATTGATGCAATAATGGAAAAAAAAATCATGGGGCTTCCAGGTTAAGCATCTGCCTCTGGCTCAGGGCGTGATCCTGGGGTCCAGAGATCAAGTCCCACATCGGACTCCCCGCAGGAAGCCTGCTTCTCCCTCTGCCTGTGTCTCTGCCTCTCTCTGTGTGTCGCTCATGAATAAATAAATAAAATATTTAAAAAGAAAACAAAACAATGGGGAAGAATAGAAGACCCAGAAAAGGTCCTGACATGCACAACACCTGTTTTTCAACCTAGGTGGCATAGTAAACTAGTAGGGAAAGCTGGCTGAGTCTATATAGGATGTTGGGCTTATTCCTTACTGGTATGGAAAAAATAAAAGTAAATTCCAACCTCACACCATACATGAAATCCAGTTGAGTTAAAGACCCGTATCTTTTCACTTTTAAATGAAATATAAAATACCTTTATGAATTTGGGATAGAGAAGGGCAAAAGTCTGAAAGCATAAATCGTAAACAAAAATATTTGTCCATCCTGCCACCTAAAGAAAAAATTTTAAACTACTGTGTGCACAAAGACACCAAATTAAAATAAAAAGACAAATCACACCCTTACGTCTAGATCTCAAATACAATTCCTGCATGTTTTGCTTATTAATAACAAGAAATTTGAAAGAGGAGAATGGACGATTTATTGTGGTAGATGCATAGGATGGAATATTATAAAGTAGTAAAAATAAACTAGTTCTACACATATCCTCAAGAACATCTCAAAAAATCTACCATTATGTGGGGAAAAAACACAAGTTTCAGAAGGCTACACACTAAGATATATTTATATGAAGTTTCAAACTATGCATTTCTACCATATGTTGTTTAGGAATGCGTACGTATATAGTGATCATGTAAATGCATGCATGAGAAGGATAAACACCAAATTTAGGATAGTCATTCTCTTTGCGGGGTAGAGTGTGAAGGGAAACGCAGTTGGAAGGGGCCAGGAAGCCTCAACTATATTTATTATTTCATTTCCTAAGATGACTGTTGTTTTCTCAATCTTTTAGTATGTTTTATATCACTATGATTTTTTTTTTTTTTTTTTTTTACAAAGAGACTGGTCCTTGGTGAAATCATCAAGCTGCTGGATCAAGTCTTTCTGAGTTATCTGAGTCCATCAAGCCTCGGAGCTGCTTCGGCCAGTGGGAGGACAGTCTTGTTAGTGCCACCAAAGGCTCCTGAAGATTCTGTGCCCGCCGTGAAGCATCCCTAAGCACTGCAGCCACTCGGGAAGGGCTCCTCTGGGCTGCTCTAAGCTACGGTGGCTTCCACCTGGTCCTGTGCTGTGTAGACGTGCTCCCGAGTACTCCATGTACATTCGTCTACCATAGGACGATGGCGGTAACAACACCTAACCATCTCTTGGTGCTCTCTGCATGCAGCATGGTGGTCAACTGGCTACAGTCATGCTTTTTTAAAGATTTTATTTATTTATCCATGAGAAACCCAGAGAGAGAGAGAGGCAGAGACACAGGCAGAGAGAGAAGCAGGCTCCATGCAGGGAGCCCAGTGCGGGACTCGATCCCAGGCCCTGCCCTGGGCCAACTGGGAGCCCCTACAGACATCGTTTTAAACCACCCTTCCGGAGACCCCGGGAGCATTACTAACTCCATTTTTGCAAACCAGGAAGCTGAAGCTCGGAGATGCTCGATGACTCGTTCAAGGGGGCGCCCGGTGGGGGGGGGGGTCAGTTGGTGAAGCGTCTGCCTTGGGCTCAGGTCATGGCCCCGGGGTCCAGGGGTCAAGCCCTGCATCAGGCTCTCTGCTTGGTGGGAGGTCTGCTCATCCCTCTTGTCCCCCCTCTACTCATTCTCTCTCTCTCTCTTTCTAGTAAATAGATAAAATCTTTTTGGAAATTTGACTTGTTTAAAATGACAGTGAAAGAGGTGCAGCGTCCAACTGTTTCTGACAGCTCCCCAGAGGTCTCTTCTCCCTGTGCCCCTCACCGCCCGACCCTGGGGCCGCCGTGAGGCAGGTGGGGTGGCAGGCTGCGGCCCTGGTGTTCCAGGGGAGCAGGGCCTCTGACGGTGAAGGCCGCCCTGGCCTGGCCCCCGGGCACAGAGGCCACAGCGCCATCACTGCCCCCACATCCGGCCCGTGGGTCGCCAGCCCCAGGCTCCGACATGCTCACGCACTTGCCGCCAGGCCCCACTAGGTGTCTCTGTCACTTTAGTTTTCCGGTGCCTGAAGGTGACACAAGGCCACTTGCAACTATTCAAAGTAGGTAAGCGGGCTGCCCGGAACTCTGCGGTTTTGAGAGAAAACAGACTCCTTGAGTGGAAGCTGCGGGCACAGTGGAGGCGAGGAGAGGACTCACACGGACGGAGGCCTTCGGGGTGTCAGCCAGGTCACCCACCTCGGGGCGAACAGCCAACATGTGGGTGGTACTTGCTATGTCCATGGCTCTTCATGTTCACTCACAGCAGCCACGGGACAACGCAGGACAGGAGCACAGAAGCACGGAGAGGCTGCGTAACTCGCCCAAGGTCACACAGCTGGTAAGCGGTGTGGTCCTTTGGACCATTTCATCCCCGCAACAGTGCTGTCAGGTGGGTGTTGCCATCCCCATTTTACAGGTGAGGACACCAGGCCTGGAAAAATCTGGAAGTCAGAGTTACCCAGCCAAACAGTGGCAGAAGCTGGTTTCAGCTCTAGCTCTATTTGACTCTGGACAAAACAGGAGACCTGGCATCCTCCCTGAGAGGGAGAGAAGACTACTTCACCGGGAGGGTCCCGTGTGTCAGCCCCACGCAGGTCCCTTGCAGTGGCCCCGGACACCAGCAAGGACTGGGCAGCCGCCCCACACTGGGGCAAGGCTCTGAGCTAGGTCAGGATTTGCTTCAAAGGAAGCAGAAGAGTGACAAAGTCCGTGAGTGTGCGAGCAAACCCCCCGTGGGGGTGACAGGGAGCGCCTGCCCACCACAAGTCAGGAGGATGGGGGTGCATGGGCTACGAGGGGCGGTCCTTGGTTGGCCGCAGAGGCCACTTGCGAGGCGGGACTGAGGGCATCAGCAGGGCCTCAGGGTTGCTCCTCTTATCCTTCTCGGAACTGCTGCCTGAACTGTCCCCTTGAGAGAAGGTTCACTGGGTGGAAGGCTCTGGGCTCTGTTAAAATACTGCCCACGAGGCTACTCAGTGCCATCCTCCATCTATTCCCACCCAGGCCTGTGGTAGGATGGTGCAGCCTGTCCCCATGGTGTGTGACTCCGCACGACACACCGTGCACGATGATGTACGAGTGGACCTGGTGTGCGCCCATTCCAGTGAGAAGCTTGACCAGCTGGCGCATGGTCCCAGATGCTCCCACCACCCACCCCCTGGGCCATGGTGACCAGCAATGCTCCAGAGGGGGTCAAGTCTAGCTGCCTGGGTCCCCAGGGGAAAGATCTCAACATCATGGACACCTGCATGAGTGAGAAATACCTCTGTGGGGGGGTGCCTGGGTGGCCCAGCGGTCAAGTGTCCAACTCTTGATTTCAGCTCAGGTCATGATTTGCAGGGTTGTGAGATGGAGCACTACATTGGGCTGCAGGCTGGGTGTGGAGCCTGCTTAAATTCTCTCCCTCCCACTCTCTCTGCCCCTCCCTCTCTACAAAAGAAAGGAAGAAAGAAAGAAAAAAAAAAGAATTCAAGACAAGACAGACCTCTGTGGTATTAGCCCCCAGGATTGCGTTGTGGTTTGCAAAGATGGCATAAACCAGTCCATCCCGACTGATACAGCAGCAGGCCACATGAATCTAGCAGCCAGCCATTAACACCCCAGTGTGAATTTGCACACAGCCAGGACTTGGGGGAAAATGGAACTTCATGGGGAGAGAAAAAGGAAGAAAAATAAATCTGTTAGGTAATTTCTAAAAATGGTCCCAGATAATTCCAGCCCTCTGACACATGCACTCCATAGCTCAGATGGGGAGGTGGGGTCTAATTTTCCTCATCTTGAATCTGAGCAACTTCAGCCACCCTGCTCAGCCAACAGAGTGAGGTGGGAATGATACTCTGGGATCGCCACAGCCACACTGAGGTTCCAACAAGCCTCAGCCTCCTGGGATGTCTCTCTTGGGACCCTCCCTCTCCCAAAAGCAGCTGTCATGCCTGAGAGACCCCAGCTGGGAGAAACCAGGTGGGGACTCTGCTCTCCGCCCTCCCCCCTGCCCCCAGGTTGCCGCCACCTGGCAGCCACGTGAGTCCTGAGTGTCCAGCCCCACACCCTGCACCCCAGCCTTTCAGAGTGCACCGCAGGGAGCAATCCAGAGGGACGTGCACCCAGCTGAGCCAGTGGCCGGGGAAGCAGCTTGAGCGACCATGTTTGGGGGAGTGGTCCCCTCGGCTGCTGGGGTGAGGGAAGGGGACACCAGCACCGGGATGGGTGCTGCTGTGTTCTTGTCCTCATCTAACATTTTAATCTCAAATTGGCATTGGCTTTGGGATAAGGGAAGGGGCAGAAGCCAGAAGGGCTCAGAGGACTGTGCTGGTAAAAGCCTGACAACTGGGGATGGGGACCATAGAGATGGGCAGGAGGGGGGCTCCCCTGCAGTGCTGGGAAGTTAGCCGATGCTGCAAGGAGAACTACGTAGGTCCACCAAGGAGATTTCCTGGCTGCAGGTTGCAAGTGCCAGCTTTGGACAAGGTATCACAGACAGGGAAAGGAGGAAAATGAACTAAAAAGAGACTTAAATTCTTTATTCTCTCTCTCTCTCCATCTCTCTTTGGAAAGACTATTTTTTTAGAGCAGTTCACAACCAAACGGAGTGGAGGTACAGAGTTCCCATGTCTCCCCCGCACCCCACCAGCCTCTCCCACCAGCAGCAGCCCCATTGAAGTGGGACATGTATCCTAACGCCGAACACACATTGCCACGTCACTCTCACCCAAGTCTGCAGTTTACACAAGGATTCACTCTAGGTATGTTCTATGGCTCTTAACAAATGTACGGTGTGACCAGTATTCGCAATTATAGGATCATACAGAAGAGCTTCCCTGCCTTAAAATCCCTTGTGCCCCATGGGTTTGGCCTTTGCCCGCAACTCTGGGCAACCAAGGAACTGTTTACTGTTTTAATGTCTATAATCTTGCCTTCCCAGACGTCCTATAGTTGGCATCATGTAGCCTGTAACCTTTCCGATTGGCTTCTTTTACTCAGGAATGTGCATTTAAGGTCTCCCCGTGGCCTTCTGTGGCTTGCCAGCTCGCTTCTCAGCACTGCATAATGTCCCATCGTGTGGATGGACCCACTGTTTACTCATCCAGTCACCTTCTGAAGTATGTCCTGGCTGCTTCCAAGTTGTGGCCATTATGTGCTATAAACACCATGGTATAGGTTTTGTGTAGACACAGGTTTTCAACCCCTTTGGGTAAGCACCAAGAAGCAAGATGGCTGGATCATATGGTAAGAGTGTGTTTAGTTTTGCAGGAAAGTGCCAGACTGACTTCCGAAGTGACTGTACCATGTTTCATCCTCATCAGCAAGGAAGGAGAGGTCCCCTTTGCTGCACATCCTCGCCAGCACTCGGTGTTCCCAGCGTTCCGGATTTTGGCCGTCCTAAGCTATTAGGTGTGTAGCGATATCTCATTGTTTTCATTTTGCGTTTCCCCGATGACACATGATGTGGAGCATCTTCCCGGGTGCTTACTTGCCATCTGTGTATCTTCTTTGGGGAGGTGTCTGTCAAGATTTTTTGCCCATTTTCAAATCAGGTTGTTTTGTTTATTGCAGTTTTAAGAGTTCTTTGAATGTTTTGGATCAGAGTCATTGATCAGACACAGCTTTTGCAGATATCTTCTCCCAGTCTGTGGCATGTATGTCATTCTCTCAACATTGCCTTTTTAGAGAAGAAGTTTTCAATATTAATGAAGTCCAGTTTATCAAATCTTTTTGTAATGGGCTGTGTTTCAGTGTTGTACCTAAAAAAAAAATCGTTGCCAAACCCAAGGCCATCTAGGTTTTCTCCTGTGTTCTCTTCAGGAGATTGGATGGTTTTGCATTTTACATTCCAGTCTATGAATCGTTGTGACAGGTATAAGGTGTGTATCTAAACTCATTTTCTTCACACGTGAATTGAGCCTTTGTGCGATTCCATTTTCTTTCATTTCTTAGCGTAACTGTTATGCTTTTGTGTTTACTTTTTTTGTAGTTGCCCTAAAGTTTGCAATACGCATTAACTACTAATCAAATCTACTTTCTTTTTTTTTAAATTTATTTATTTATGATAGTCACACAGAGAGAGAGAGAGAAAGAGGCAGAGGGAGAAGCAGAGGGAGAAGCAGGCTCCATGCACCGGGAGCCCGATGTGGGATTCGATCCCGGGTCTCCAGGATCGCGCCCCGGGCCAAAGGCAGGCGCCAAACCGCTGCGCCACCCAGGGATCCCCAAATCTACTTTCAAAGTGTGACTGACAACTAATTCAAATATACCTTATAATAACAAAATAATCCTAATTCCTCCCTCTTGTCCTTTGTATCATTGCTGTCATTGATTTCACCTACAAATAAGTATACAAAAGTGTATGTATGTGTATATATATATATATATATATATACACATAAAGCATAGATAATCACATACATTACTGCTGTTATTATTTTGAGGAAACCACTATGCACTAGATCAAATAAGAATAAGAGAAATTAAAGTTTTTATTTTACCTTAGTACTCCTTTGCTCTTCCTTTCTTTTGCAGATCCAAGTTTCTAAACTATATCATTTCCTTCTCTCTAAAGAACTTCTTTTAGCATTTCTTGCAAGGAAGGTCTACTGGCAACAAATCCCCTCAACTTTTGTTTGTATAAGAAAGTCTATTTCTCCTTCACTTTTAAGGAATAATTTTGCAGGGTACATGATTCTCAATCAATGGTTTTTTTTCTCTCACCACTTTAAATATTTCACTCCTTTCTCTTCTTGTTTGCGTTGTTTCTGAGAAGTCAGATGTAACCACCTTGTCATTAAGGTGGTTTTTTTCCTTCGACCCCTTTCAAAGTTTTTTCTTTATCCTTGACTTTCTGTAGTTTGACAATGATACATCTGGATGTTGAGTTTATAGCATTTACTCTGCTTGGTATTCCCTGAGTTTCCTGGATCTGTGGTTTGGTGTCTGGCATTAACTTGGGAAAATTCCCAATCATTATTGTTTCAAATATTTCTTCTCTTCCTTTCTCTCTTTCTTCTCCTTATGTTATTCCCATGATGCTTATGTTTTTGCAGTTGTCCCACAATCTTTGGATATTCTCCTCATTCTCTTCTTTTGTCTTTTTTCAGTCATGTCCAGTCTACTTTTTTTTAAGATTTTTTCATGAAAGACAGAGAGAGAGGCAGAGACACAGACAGAGGGAGAAGCAGGCTCCTTGAAGGAAGCCTGATGTGGGACTCAATCCCTAAACCAGGATCAAGCCAAAGGCAGATGCTCAACCGCTGAGCCACCAGGGGTCCCAGTCCAGTCTATTAATAAGCTCATCAAGTATTCTTCATTTCAATTACAATGGGGTTTTTTTTAAGTTTATTTATTTATTTAAGTAATCTCTATTCCCAACGTGGGGCTTGAACTCATAACCCTGAGATTGAACCAGCTGCCCCATGTATTATAGTGTTTCCTTGGGTTCTTAAATATTTTTTTTAATTTTTATTTATTTATGGTAGTTACACACACAGAGAGAGAGAGAGAGAGAGGCAGAGACACAGGCAGAGGGAGAAGCAGGCTCCATGCACCGGGAGCCCGACGTGGGATTCGATCCCGGGTCTCCAGGATCGCGCCCTGGGCCAAAGGCAGGCGCCAAACCGCTGCGCCACACAGGGATCCCCCTTGGGTTCTTTCTCAAGATCTCCATCTCTCTGCTTGCATTGCCCATCTGTTCTTGCATGCTGTCTACCATCCATTAGAGACCTTAGCATATTCAACATAGCTGTTTTGCATTCCTGGTCTAATAATTCCAACATCCCTGTCATGTGTTGTTCTGATACTTGCTCTGTCTCTTCAAATTGCATTTTTTGCCATGTAGTATGCCTTGCAATTTTTTCTTAATAGCCAGATGTGAAATATTGGGTAAAAGGAACTGCTATAAATAGGTCTTTAGTAACATTGTGGTGAGGTGTGGGGGGAGGGAAAGTGTCCTCTAGTCCTATAATTAGGTTTCAGTCTTTTAGTGAGTCTGTGCCTCTGGACTATGAGTTTCACAAGCATCTCTCAGGGGTTTTTTTTCTTCCCTGTTTAGGTGAGATGGGATGGACAGAATAGGCTGGAGTTGGGTATCTCCCTTCCTCCAGATCGGTTAGGCTCGGGTAACAGTTGAGAAGCTTCATTTACACTGGGATCTGATTTAGATAAGAAATGGAGCTCATGGGACACCTGGGTAGCTCAGGAACACCTGAGTGGCTCAGCAGTTGAGCTTCTGCCTCTGGCCCAGGGCATGATCCCGGGGTCCTGGGATCGAGTCCCACATCGGGCTCCCTGAGTGGAGCCTGCTTCTCCCTCTGCCTGTGTCTCTGCCTCTCTCTCTCTCATGAATGAATAAATAAATCTTTAAAGAAAAAAAAAAGAAATTGAGCTCATGCTGAAATGGGATAAATTTTGGAGAATCACTAGAGAGAGAGAGTGTTCTACAGATACGGCAAAGATGTGAGTTGTTAGAACCTGAAGGCAAATTGTGGTAGTTAGTCTTCCATGATGTGGCCCCAAACAATTCTGTCCTCCCTTTACTACTGGGCCTCACAGGAAGAGGCAGAGTCTAGTCCCCTCTCCTAGAAAAGAGGCTATCTTTAGCAATCCTTGACAAAATAACACAGCAGGACTGATATTCCAGGACTTCTGAGCTAAGTCCTAAGAAGACTTGCAGCTTCTGCTTAGGAGTTTTTTAACTCTTGCTCTCGGGATGCTTCCCCAGGAATCCTGCCACCACTGTATTGTGAGATGTCCGTGACAAAGGGTACATGTAGATTCTACTGTCAACAGCCTCATGTGCATTCCCAGGCCACGGCATGTACTGCCAGCCCTGCAAGTGAGCCCTCGTGGATGTAGCTCATTCAAGCCTTCAGGTGACTCCATGCCCAGCTGCCACTTGACTGAAAATTCCTAAGGGACTCTAAATGAGAACGGCCTGGCTGAGCACAATAAACTCACAAAATTATGAGTGATAACAATAAACGTTTGCTCTAAGTCATTACGTTTTAGGATAGCTTGTTACATCAAGAAATAATCAGACAACTTCTAATGTATGGGTCCGGAGACCCAGAAAAGAATGGGTGCTACCAGCTTTGGGATGATAAAGGAAAGCATTAAGGTACCATAAACCAAAGAAGATAGACAAGTACCTGCCACATAGTAGACATGCAGTAAACAGTTGCAGAATGAACAAGCAAGTGAATAAATGAAAGTAACCATGGCAAGAACAGATTGCTCCTCTTTCCTGGGTTAACAAAGGCTCTCTCAGCTACCAGGAAACAAGGCTGTGTCCCCAACCAGCCATGATGGAGGGGTGTGCTTGGGGACCCGTCCTATCTTCCCACTCTAAAAAATGGAAGAAGCTTCCTCCTCGGGGTTGTGACAGCCTCCCTCCTCCCTCTCCTCCTCCTCCTCTCCATAGCTCTCCAGTACTTCTCAGTTCACAAGCATTTTCCCTTCAGCCTATCACATGGTTTCTACATCATTATAATGACCACCTCTGAAAGCCAGCCCCTTCCTAAGAAGTTGACTCTCCACTTATTCACTCTCCAGAGTTCTCCAGACCACCACGTTGACTCCAAGAATGCCCTAGCAAAGGTCATGGGAGCCCAAGTCTGTGTTTTCTGCAGGCATCCATACAAAGGAGGCTCTGAATAGGAAAAGCTCTTTAACTTTCATTGACTCTTGGGGTCTGGCTTATTTCTTCCCCAATCACTTACTGTGAAAGCTTAAGCAAAGAAAGTACTCAGATTCAGAGTCTCTGTCCCCACATTACACAGTTATTGTGAAAAGTAAGGCTTTAAGAGAATTTAAATCAGCACTGAGTCTGGGCCCATTGGACACCCAATGAATCTCCATTTGATGATTTTTCTCCCATAACCATCAGAGAAAAAGTTGGGATATTCTCTCCTGAGAACCTCAGACTTTGAGATTTCTCCTCAGCCTCATTCAGAAGTATCACCCAAAGGAGTTTCCTGAGAGAGTCATTCCTTACCTGCTAAGGCACCATTAATAAAGGAATTATTTACACAGAATTTCCACTCTAATTTCTTTTTCCTCCCTCCTCTTGTACCTGTCCTCCTTTAGGAGGTCCATGACCCAGCTGAATCAGAAATTACAAGGTACTCCCATTCCAAGCCTGAAGATCTTCTCTCTGCTCCTCCTGAGTTTTCCCAACTACTTTCCCCAGGGAAGTTGCCAGATTCTTCTCACTCTTCAGCAATTTAGGATTCCTCAAAAGAACTGAGCAGCAGTCTCACAGAATAACACTGGAAAGAGATCCAGGACATTGTAGTTAATTTTGTGTTGACTTGACTGGGCTAAGGGATGCCTGGAGAGCTGGTGAAACATTATTTCTGGGTGTGCCTGTGAGGGAGTTTCTGGAAGAGATTTGAATTTGAGTTGGTGAACTGAGTAAAGCAGATGGCCCTCCTCCATGTGAGTGGGCATTGTCCAATACATTGAGGGCCAGAATAGAACAAAAAGGCAGTGTTTTGTTTTCTCTGCCTGAGCTGAGACATCTATCGCCTTCTGCCCTCAGACTTTGGTGTTTTCAGTTCTTAGCCTTTATACTCAGACTGCTATATCACAGACCTTCCCGGTTCTCTGCTTACAGGCAGGAGATTAGAGGACTTCTTGGCCTCCGTACTGCATGACCAGTTCCTTTAACAAATCTCTTCATCTATCTATGTACCTACCTACCTACCTACCTACTACCTATTGATTCTGTTTTTCTGGAGAATCCTGACTAATGCACAAGAGTTCTAGTGTCCAGTCTTGGCTCTTTCATCACAGAATAAGCTAAATATGTGATGAATGCATAGTAAGATCCCTGTCGCTAGAGACATTCAAGTACAGTTCATAAAACAGCCTCTGGAGGCCTTCAGTTCCCTGAACAAGTGAATGACGTAATAAACTTTATCCTGAAAGAACTAAAGAGCCATGGAGGGCTGCTAAAGTATTTTACACTTGTTATGAGGCTTGTTTTAGGCTTGGGCATGACACAAGCATACTTTCAATTCATAAAGATTACAGCAGTAAGGTGGAGAATGGATGAGGGTGGGAGATGGTGAGAGTTTGGGACACCTCTGGGATAATATTGTGTTGACCCAGGGACACATTAGGAAGGCCTGAACTGCCCCTTCTGGCATTGAGCACATTCTTTCATCCATTCAACAAAAATTCATCAAGTCCCTAACATAAGCCGGGCAGTACTTTAAGTATGGAGAATTATTACTGAAGACGAGAGGGGTATAGACCACATTGCTTTGTTATTTAACTGTTCTAATTAACTTGGCCGAATTAGAGGGTTCCTTTACATTTTGCTAAATAAACAGGAAGACGAATGAATTGAAATAATACAAGCATTGTGATAAACCTCACTGCTCTCCAGGTAGACAATTAAGCCTTGGATTGAAAAGATAGATGGCAGATGTCACTAAGGACAACAGTAAAGTTCCCATAGCCTAGTTCCTAAAGTACCCACAAGTGTCAGCACATTGTCAATCAAAGGAAGCACAGGATGTCAGTTTGTATGTTTTCTTTCAAAAGTTCTCAGGCACATAACCAGTTTGCAGAGGCCCAAGTCAGCTGCATGCTCTGGCCCCACGTTGTCAGAACGCCATTCCCTGCTCCCTGCTTCTGAGGCTCCTGTTCTTCTGAGGTGAAGATTGAAACTAACCCCTAATAAAGAAAGTAGAGGAAGGAGGAAGGTTGGTTTAACAACAAAGGCAGGGATACAGATGCAGTGAAACAGCAGGACACCTGCACCCAATGTTCACAGCAGCAATGCCCACAATAGCCAAACTGTGGAAGGAGCCTCGGTGTCCATCGAAAGATGAATGGATAGAGAAGATGTGGTCTATGTATACAATGGAATATTCCTCAGCCATTAGAAACGACAAATACCCACCATTTGCTTCAACGTGGATGGAACTGGAGGGTATTATGCTGAGCGAAGTAAGTCAATTGGAGAAGGACAAACGTTATATGATCTCACTCATACGGGGGATATAAAAAATAATGAAAGGGAATAAAGGGGAAAGGAGAGAAAATGAGTGGGAAATATCAGAGAGGGTGACAAACCATGAGAGACCCCTAACTCTGGGAAATGAACAAGGGGTGATGGAAGGGGAGGTGGGCGGGGGATTGGGGTGACTGTGTGATGGGCACTGAGGGGGGCACTTGATGAGATGAGCACTGGGTGTTATGCTAAATGTTGGCAAATTGAACTCCAATAAAAACATATGCAAAATAGCAAAACAAAAAAACAACAACAAAGGCAGGGAAAGGAGGAAAGAACATTCTTCTTAGTGGTTCTAAAGATAGCTTAAGTCAAGAAACCTCATTCAAAGTTGTCTGAATGTGAAAAATTAACTAGAAATCTGGTGTTGTAATTATTGCAAGAGTTTATTGGAAGGCAAAACACATCACCTTGATTTGTATGACAGCACAGATAGAAGACAATCTCTTCCTAAGTCTTGTGCAAAAAAACCCATTTAGGACAATAGGTCCACCTTTGGTTTGTGAGCAAGTTCGTTGGGGGCTTGGCATTTGCCTGCAAGAGAGGAATCGGACAAAAATGACCAGCAAAATCAAAATGGCGGTATGTTTGTCAACTGCTTTTGTCCTCACCTTCACTTTCCATCTGTGTGCTCTGGCTCTTCATCCCCACCTCAGGAGAATATGGAAACTAGGCTGGGTCTTCCACCAAAAGATTCTACAATCTTAGATCCTCGACCCACCTAGGTCTCAACTTCATCTGTCGCGTGGGAACAACATCACAGGCCTGAGTACTTCCCGAGGGACTGTAAGCATCCCAGAAGATGACCATCCATAGAGTGATTTGAAAAGTTTCACACAAGAACAAGTATTTTTTAGCACTCACACTGTTGGGCACTGTTCTAGGCACTGAGGCTACATCAGGAGCAAAACATGGCTCTTAGAGCTTATATAATAGAGCTAGAAAATAGAAAATATGTCAGGCAGTGAGAAATAACATAGAGAAAAATGAAATATACTATGAAAACCCCAAGTCTAAATACTACTCTGATAGAAGACAGTGTCTGTGTGTGTGTGTGTGTGTGTGTGTGTGTGTGTGTGTGTGTGTGTACACGTGTGTTGAGATGGACCGTGTCGAGAAAGGGAAGGAGGAGGGAAGGGCAATCAGGGGATAGGAAGTAGAAGTACCATGTAAGTACATGTGTGTAAGTACAGTTTTGGTGGTAAGAATCGGGATGGAATTGTTCTGGCTTTTGGAAGAACATAGAGTCCAAGACCTATTTATTCTATGATTCATTGTTCCGGCTTTGTCTGGACGGAGGCAGAGAGAGAGTCTAGACAAGGTGCCCCGTGGGGCTCAGCAGCAGATGACCCAATTGTGGGAAGCAGAATGCGAAAGCGACTAGGGAATTGCAGAATTCCCTCCCTATTGGCACTCACTAAAAACTGAATGAGGATGAAGTGGCACCTCCCGGAATCTTCTAGACCTTCTCCTGCTCCCCAGTTCTCGTCTATAGCTCCTCCCTGAAAGAGTACCAGCCTGGAGGTTCTGGAGGCTCTGGGGGCTCTGGAGGCCCAATCATCATGCTCTCTCCAGGAGGTGAGAAGGTGGGTTCTCTTCCCACCCAGACCCAACCAGACCATCTGTTCACTGGGGCCCACATGGGTTGTGCTGCACCTATGGCTCCTGTGACTCCAAGTCTGGAAGACGCAGCTTATGAACATTTCAGGCCATAGTGGATCCTCCATATTTGATCCCTATTATCATCATGTTGGCCTTCTGCAATTCTGTCTCCTCATCTGGAGAATGGGCACAACAGCTGCTAGCTCCTAGCATAGATCATAAGCACGAGGATTTATCATGTGCCACAGGCACTGTGCTGAGCCCATCACAAGCATTGTCATTTACTTCAACAGAATCCTGTAAATACTACTGTGCCCATTTTACAGATGAGAAATCTGAACAGAAACAGTTTAAAAAGAAAACCTGGGACCC